TCCAGGGACCACTACACCACTGGTGGGAACTGTTGGGTCTCTGTAAATAATGTTATAAGGGGTTCGGTCTAGACCTGCTCTATTTAAAAAAGTGTCCTGAGATAACTTCTGTTATACAAATAAAATTGAATTGAATTGAAATTAATATATTGATTGGTACCTTCCAGAAGATGAAACAGAGCATGCTCAGAAGGAGGAGGCCAGAGATGATTGACAGGGCGATGTAGCCAATAGGAACGTCCGTCTGTCCATCAGGACGCCAGGACACACTGAGCTGAGTCTGCACACACACACACACACACACACACACACACATATATACAGGCAAACACAGACATCATTATGTCTCATATTTGATTATTGTCACATAAAGTTGCTGTTGTTTATTATTGTGTGTGTGTGTGTGTGTGTACCTGTGTGTGTCCACTCGGCAGCAGCAGCGGTTGGACCTTCGATGATGCATTGATGACCTCATAGGAGGCGGAAGACATGAGCTCATAGTTCAGGTAGGGAGTCTGTATGATGACATCATATTTTCACTTTATCCATTCAGTAGTTTACGATTATGATGAGAAATGCAGCAGTTCAGACCTCACTGAAGGTCTGTTGGACCAGTTTAATACAGAACCTGGATCTACATCTGGTCTCTGTAGTATTCAGTTACATAACATTCAGTTTGAATTCATATGTGTGTCTGAACTGTTGCTGACAGAATGGAGACGGAAACAGAACCTGCTGGTGCTTTCACTGACAGTTCAGGTAAGGCAGTAACATACAGCAGGTAATACAGTAACATACAGTATACCTGTGTGAGTGTGTGTGTCCACAGTCTGGCTGAGATTCTGACGACAGCGCTGAAGCCCCGCCCCAATGCTGTGACATCACACACAAACCTGACACACCCTGTCTGTCTGCTGCTGCAGTTCTACACACAAATATTAAGATTTCTATTAGAGACAAATATGATTATTGATTGTAATTGATCATATGATTGTAATGTATTTTTACCAGATGATTATTTATTGGTGATTGATTATATATAATAATGTGTATTTACCAGATGAACAGTGTGTCTGTGTGAGTTTGTCTTCTCCTGCTGGGTCGACGGAGAAACTACAGAAACACTGGACGAGTTACCAAGCAGCTGCAGACAGACAGGTCAGAGACACAGACAGGTCAGAGACAGACAGGTCAGAGACAGGTAACAGATAGAAAGACAGATAGGTTGCAGACCTTGAAGGGGTCTATCTGCGATGCGTTCAGGGTCCGGCAGCTCAGTGATTCTTCAGATGCGTTGGAGAATACGTACAGCAGGAAGTGATGTCGCCAGTTGGACAGGAAGTCCACCGTCAGCCGGGCGTTGACCGCACTGGGACCCAGGTTCCTCAACTACACATCAACATCATCAACATCATCAACATCATCGACATCATCATCATCATCATCATCAATATCATCAAGATGATCGATATCATTGGTTACCAGAACCGTCTCTTTACCTCGTAGACATGTTCCACTAGTGGACCCACTTCCTCTAAACTCCCAGGATGCATTGCAGGCTGCCAGTCCAGGAGGGGCAGGACCAGTTCTGGAGGGGAGGAGCCTCTACAGACACAGAGAGACACCATCAAGTCCAGATCCAGGACCCAGATCCAGGACCCAGATCCAGGACCCAGATCCAGGACCAGGATCAGACTCCTTACCCTCTGATCTCCAACGTGGCCTCGGCTTTCACCTGGACCTCCACTGAGACCTCGTTACTGTCGGGGTTCACTGAGTTCTTACTGAGAGGCAGACAGGTCAGAGGGTCAGAGAAACAGAAATGCACACAGACAGACAGACAGACAGACAGACAGACATACAGACAGTACCTCCTGATCCTCAGGTTAAAGGTGATGTGTCTCTCTACCTCCTCTAGATGACCGACACTGAACAGAAGACCTGTCTGTAGCTGAGCACAGACAGACAGTCAGACAGACAGGCTGGGTAGAGACAGAATATATATGTGTGTGTGTGTGTGTGTGT